ACACGTATTATTTCTTGAATCATCGCCTTGTATTTGAAGAACTTTCTCGGATAGATCTTTTATTTGAAATGTGGTCTGTGTTTGCTTATGTCTTTTTTAGCATTAATTTCCAATCACCTTTACTTATGACCGTCGTTCGCTGCATGTTTCTTTATTTTCAAAGAAAACCCAATTTTCACTTATTTATACAATAAATAAATAAATAAATAATAGTGTCTGAAATATTTCCACCGATTTCCATAACGCATGAAAAAACCTGAATTGGACTTAATGTCACAAAAGCCTCACAATAGTAGGTTCAGCTTAAATTGGTATGACAGAAATGCTCTTTAGGCATTGGATTTTTAAAAATTTTTAATTGATTGGTAGTATATCTTTAAGAAATATGCTTTTAGGTAAATTAAAAATTTAAATATCATACTGAAAGTGCTTTGACATGTTTACTAAGCTCATTTATCTTCTAATGTGCAGCATTAATAAGCAGCTGGGGAGATGGATTTATGGGAAAGACGATGGACAAATTTATGAACTAAATTTATGTACGATTTCAGAGCGATATAATTACTAGTTGCTAATAATTTTGAAACTACAATATTTATATAATGAAATTTTACCTTAATTTTGAAGCATCTAATTTGCACAATTTAATATTCCAATCAAAAATAAGTTTTATTAACAAATTATGCCCGAGTTGATTTCAACACATTGAATTTACATTTGTAATTTTCAAAAACTACTTAATACACATTTTTATATCTTATATTTTCGATGCAATGAAAATTCGTTTAAATTATTTGGATTCCTTCGTAAGCTCATGATTATAGAATTTAGATAAAGTTTTCAAATGCTAATTTAATCTATTGAATAAGTAATTTTTTTGGAAACTTTGAGTGAAAATGGATTATCTTCTTGTGGCGAAAGAATTATCGAGTTATTATTAAATATTCCTAATCACGTTAAAAAAAAAAGCTTAAGGAGATCTGAAATCCATAATTATAGCTTGTCTTTATTTTTTTTATCTAATTTTAGCGCTACGAATTTTTATTCAAGTAAGTTACTCCAATATTTTACTTGTTTGATACGCATTATCATTAATAAAAACAAATACGTGAATCTTTTAGGAGGATATCATCGTCGAGACTTATATTCAAAGGTTGAACAAATTATTTGATTTTATTTATTTTAATGTAATCAGACGAAGGCAGTATTTATAGAAGTTAGTAATTAGTTTGTCACTTTTAATTTAATTTTTGTATATGTATGAGAAATTATTTATTTTATTGTTAATTTACAAAATAAATTTAATTTTACCATACGTTCTCAACTCATTTTGAACACGATTAGTTTATAATGTTAATAATTTGCAAATATTAAATATATTTACCTTTCACTTTGTTACGGAAACGGTTTTGATTTCCAAGTTTCTAACCTAAAATTATAAATTATTTTTATTTTTTATATAGAGATAACTAAAAAATCCGCTCTATTCAGTGTTAATTGTCGAGCCCTGGCACATGGCTTCTTAAAAGAAATATATAATTAAAATTAAACAAAGATATACAAGAATAAAATTAAAAAAATATATATATGCCTAAAAACTCTTTAACGTCTCACACGTATTATAAAATATACTTATGATTAATAAAATTAATTTTTGAAATTAAAATTTTATGAAATGTGAATATGGATGAAAATTTAACAATAACAGAGATCATAAAAACATTCAAATACGAGGTGACAGTGTGGATAAAGTAATTTAAATAATAAGGCATAGTATAATAGTATTTTTTTTTTTCGTTTTCGTATATCTAGGACGCAGTATTTCCCATATGATATGAATAAAAAAGTGTTGCGCAAACTTTAAGGCTTGAAATGAGAGAGAAATAATTAATTTAAAATAGAGAAGAGCTTGATTAAAGTTTGCAAGCATAAACTATATGAACGAGTTTTGTTTCTTTTTAAATGCATAAACGTAATAATGTAATACAAAAAAACTTTCTTTATTAATAGCACAAAACATGTGCGAATGCAGTTATTTCCTCGTAATTTAGTAATTGAAGAAAATAATACTGTATCAAGTTGATGTAATTTTTTTTTATAATTCCAAAGATTATGAAAATTGGAGATTTAAATTCAAAGAGACATACAAAACTAATCCATATTTGTGTTACGTTAAATCGTGAGATTGGTTTTACTTACATTGTTAAAAATATAATTGTGACATAACCATCTGCCTTAAAAAACAATTATTACAATAAAATTTGTTTTTTTACCAAACTAGCTTACATGGACGTTAACCTACTTCCTTTGGTTGTAATTACATATTTTTTAAATTCCTTTGTTCAATTGAAATGTTAACTTTAATTACTAAATAGTAAACTCAAAATGCAACAAATACCTCACACGGGTGTTCGTTTCAACGTAATTAATAAATCCTAAAATCATACTCGTGATGCGACGTTTCATTATTGTTGACACCGTCAATGAATTGCTACTTTGTTAATTTCGTTCGAAATCTTTAGATATATTCATGTCTATTTACACTCTTTTATTTATTGATAGGCCTCTTCTCAACTGCAATCAATTTTTTTTTCTTTTTTTTTACTCTTATTTTTAGTGAAGAGTTCTGAAGCTACACGAGGAACCAAACCGGTGCAAAAGATATTTGAAGATGACCGAAGGAGCGAAAAAAGTTAGAGAAATCATGATGGGCTGAAATAATTAATTCTTCAACTGCAACGAAAATCAAACTGGGACATAACATTCCCTGTCGTTGATTAATTGATTCTTTCCTAGCGACATTTAAAAATACTCAATAATGTTACAGAATTTCTATATTTGAATTTTTAGGATTTTTTTTTTTTCTGGTTGATTCAATTCCAACATTGATTCTGAAATATATTTATTCTTCATGTATAGTAAAGGAAACTAATGACATTTTGAAAAAATCTTAAAAACATGAATTATAGATTAATTATTGTGATGTAAATTGTTTTTTTGTTAATAAATATTTTTTAAATGCGTGTTTGGGTCGTTTAGAAACACATACGTATTCTCGTCGACATAACACGTCGAACCAAGAAAATGATGCGCGCAAAGTTAATTCTTTACATGTAATGTATATGTACGTAATTGGGGTGCATGTTGAAAATATTTGAATTAGCAACTTTTTTGTTATTTGCAAATTTTCCTCCATAATACTTTGTTTATTGTTTTAAGCATTATGTTTGGATAAATATATCATTCTGCATATGGAATTTACACAATTTTAAAATTCCTTATTTGAAGATATTAAATATTATACTATGTATTAATAATTAATTGCTTTGTAATTCTAGCAAATAATGTAATGGTATTTTTGGATTGAAGGATTTTATTGCATACAATTACGTTATATTTTGATGAATATCGAGCTACCAGCGTTAATGACATAAATATAAACCTTTTAGGACATTTCGATTATACTCTACATAATATTACTTTTTCAATAAGAAACACTATCATATAATTGTGAATCAAAATCTGAAACCTAAAATGTCGAAATTATAAAACAATATACGGTATTTGTACAAAAAAAAAATTTGAATCATGCGTTATTACATTATTAATGCACAATTATGCATTTAAATTGGCGTTATGCCGAGAAGATTATGCAGTATTCATTTAAACATTTGGATAATCCTTTTTTATACAAATTAAAATGAAGAATGAATAGATAAAAGCAAATGCTAAGATATTGTTTAATCAATAAAAAAATTAAAAATCCAAAAACGTGTAAAGAATTCATGTCGAAACTCCGGACAGATCCTTAAATTCCTTTTTCATGAGAATTGACTGTTATTTGTCTATCGGAATCTGAACTCCATTCGTAGAATAGGGAATGATTACTGAAAGTAAACTTAACCGACAGTTCGTTTTTCGCATCTCGCTTTACACAAGAAAAATTTCAAACAATCGAACGATGTAATTACCCGCAAAGGAATAATAGTTGATTGCTAAAAACGATTATATTTTGCTTTTATTTTATTAAAAGATTTGTTTCAATTTTTACAACTTTTTTTTTTTTCCAATAAAAGCATAAACGCATATTACGACAATCGTTATTTATGAAACTCAAAAAGGAAATATTCCTAAAAATTGCTCAAATTCATAAAGATTTAAACAATCGTCATGAAACTGAATTTATTTTGAGAAAATTAGCTAATTGCTAATTTCACCAATCATTACAAATAAAATATACAAAGTTTTATTTTGTTTAGAATTTTGGTGAGAAAAATTAATAAGCAAAACAAATCTTAAGAGCATTTATCCTTAAATCGGCCATATTGAAGTAAAGCGAATGTCATGGGAGAACAAGGGTCAAAGTTGTCGGTATATCGGACCCGTTATCTATTTTATTTCAAGTAATGAAATAATATGTTTATGAATTCTTTATGTAACTACTTTTAACCATTGGATTATTATAGATTATCTATACCGACAAACGATAAAATGTTTTTACTACTGCATTCGATTGAGAATATACAAATAAGTATGTGTAGTACAGCTGAAAAACATCTTTTTTTTTTCTTTTACGAAAGGACAAAACATTTCATTTGTGCTCTTTATTTATACTTAATTATAACCACATTTGGCATTTTTCAATCAACCTAATAATATTTTGGATTTACATTTATTAGCCCAAAAAATTTGATGTTCCCTAAAATTGCATTATTGGTCACAACACCTTCATTAAATTAAGCACAATGCATGTGATACATAAAAGTTTCAATGTCGACTACATTTTTAGTAGCGTGTTTGCATGAACGCAAAACAAGACTAAGCTTTCTTGGAACAACTTTGTCACAAAAAAGGTGTGATTGAAAATTTCAATTCATTAATTTTTTTGAAATTATTTAAATCCAACAAAAAACGTCGCTCTTTTTTTTTCATTTCATTTATTTATTTATTTTTTAAAAATTTAATCACTTTGGCAGAAATTTTAGCGAATTTTCACAAAAATGGATGATTTGAAATTAGCGAACTTTGAAATCCCTTCAGATTTAATTAAACCTGCGGATCCACTTGATGACTCGGAAAGTAAATGTCGTGTTAAGAAAAGCATGTATTTTAATTCACATGTGGCTGAAAAGGAAATCGGAAAATTCAAAAAAAATGATCAAAGACTTTGTGATTTGGAAAAAGAAGTCAAATACATTCATAAAATTTGTAATTGTAGATCTGTTCTTACATTGTAAGTATTAAAATATAAAGAGACTTTTATTTTTTCTTTGATTAGAAGTAAAGTTTTCTTACCAGACACATTGTGTTCTTTTCCTTTGAATAGCTATGGTTTTACTCGTCGAAACACAAGTTATAGTGTTATTTGGGAATGGGGTGGTTATAACCTACAAGATTATCTTGCAGAGAACCAGAATCTGGAATGGACAATAAGACTGTCGATCGCACAAGGGATTTCTAACGCGTTGAACTTTATTCATAAAGAAGAGATCCTACACTATGACATTAGAAGGTGAATGTCATTCTGACGCACGATAATACGCTATAAATAAATCTTATACATTAATTATTATTAATTTTAATTTATTAGCTACAACATCTACCTGAACGCTTGCTTGCAAGTTAAACTTCATGGTTTTCGTTTAGCGGAAGGTTCATCTATTTCACCGGTTATATTAACTTCAGCTAGTGAACGTACGGATCCTAGATGGACTCCTCCCGAAAAAACTCGAGATAAAATGTATACTAAAGCCAGCGAAATTTATAGGTAAAGCTTTAACATCGTACATTTATGAGATTTATTTGTTAAATACTCAAATCAAACAATTTTTATTTTTTTTATCGGATTAGCTTTTCCATGGTTCTTTGGGAAATCATCAATAATCGTACTCCATTCAACGACATGTCGCCTGAAGAGATAACAACCAAGGTTCTCAATGGGGAACATCCGCAACCCGAGAGAACCAATGGCACACCCGTGGAATATCAGGAAATAATGGAAAAAGGTTGGAATATTAATCCAACGAACCGTCCAACCGCTCAACAAATGCTTAATTTATTAAGTCATTTGGAATCACAAGAATGGCTTGGTCATAGACTACCTAGAATTGGAGATGATGAACACTCACAGCCCGATTACCAAACAACACCTTTTTCACCAAAGAACTCTAAATTACTTGAATTTCCAATTTCAAGATTAACAGATTTAGCGTCAACATCAGACTCCTGTAAAGCGGTATTAAATTTGTTTGAAGATGCAAAACGTAATAGAGATCTTTTTGATAGGGGAGTGGATATCATTAATGGTGGTAAGATCATTCTTAATGAAATAAAGCAAACTATCGATCGATCAACAAATCTTTATTGGAAGGATTGCATCGAAGAGTCTTCAGCTTTTCAAAAATATAGTAATTATTTATTGAATATTGAGGATGTCAAGGGATTTATAGAAGTTGATGACGACGAGGTACAGTATATAATATAATTTTGTATTGTGTAACATACTTCGGGAGGTTGAGCGGAATTCATTTTTTTCATTTTAATTGTTTAGGTTCGACAAGAAATAACAATGTTAAATGATGAATTAGATAACTTAACAAATGAATTACGTAAATTGGTTCAACAATGGAAATCAGACTTTAAAAAATGTGGAGTGACCAAAAGAAAATTTAAAGCGGCCGCTAAAATGTTGATATTATATAAATCAATTTCGCCGCCATCATCTAAAATGGACTGTGAAATCCCATCATCTAAATTGGACTGTGAAATCCCATCATATCTTGTTGATACAGAGAATTCATCGGTGGTTCCTGGAAGTAAGAATATTAAAAAGGGGCTTTATATGTACAGTGCTTCGGTGGCTGAAAAAGTCGTTGGAAAATTTGAAAAGAATGATCCAAAACTTAATGAATTACAAGACGAAATTAATTACCTGAAAAGACTCAGTGAATGTGAAAATATTCTCAAGTTGTAAGTATAATTAGTATATTTATTATGTTTTAAATTGCGTCATGCATTCTTTCTCACGCACTAATTACTTGTTTTTTGAAAAGTCATGGTCTAGTTCGTAGAAACACTAGTTTGAGCGTCATTATGAAATGGGGTGAATATAAACTACAACCTTACCTTGAGAAGTATCCAAATATGGAATGGACAAAGAAATTGCTGATCGCGCGCGGAATCGCCGACGCGTTGAATTTTATTCACACTTACATTATGATATAAGAAGGTATGATAGTTTTCTGTCACATAATTTAACAATTTATATTCATGTTTTCTAAATTCACTAACTTAATTTTTATATACCAGTGATAACATTTACCTGGATATACTTTTACAACCTAAACTT